CAACTAATATTAAACTTCCTGTCAGAAAAAGTAGGCACTGCTTAGGGGAACATCATCATCAGACCATCACACCACTATGCTTGCCTGTGGAAAACAGTGCCAGGCTAGAGTCAAATTATGTACCTTGTTATTCAGGTCTGTGGCAGCATCAGTGACTCTTTGTAAAATGACCTCGGGCGGGATGTCGCCTGGCAACGGGGTCAGGTCATTGGGGTCATACCCAGGATACTGCTGAAGCTGTAATTGGGGAGGGAGGAGGAACAGTTGACTGCACAGCAAACATGTACAACAATGGATTCTGCATGTTATGAATGTTGATGTCATAATCAAGTTTACATGTACCTTTCAGCCCTCTGTTTTTATGTTGTTTCTTTGCTTGAACTTTAGGTTAGAATGTTTGAGAAAGGAAACCTGTACATGTGTGACTCCTTATTTCCATCAAACTGCTTTACCTCCACTAGTCTGGGCTCTCCTCTCTCCTTCTTCCCTTCTAAGGACTTGTCTGACTTCTCGGACCGTTCCTTGGGAATGCCAGGCTCTGGTCGTCTCCGTGAGCGCACTTCAGGAAGCATCTGTGACGAGCGGCTGGCATACACGCTGGAGAACTCATCCAGCTGCCGCTTCTCTCGCTCTGTGATTTCATACAGGGATGGTAAGATAATTAAGAGTAGAGTGTTTGAGTGGCTTAGGCTTTTCTGGCTAGACGTTAATGTTGTGGCCTTGGGAAAGTCACTTTACACAACATTCTTAACTCTTCCCAGGTGTATAATGGATCCCGACTTCAGTTGGGAAGGTGAAAAGAGGGCTAAACGTACCTGAAGTAACAACCCACTGACCCTATGGCCTCAAAGAAAATAGAACTGGTAAAACCTTTTACATAATAAGAGCTTAGAAGCCTGCAACGTACCCTCAGGGCTGAGATATGGGTCCAAGCTTATAGCTATATTACAGCTTCTTTTTAATTTTGGTTGGACAACATGAAAATTGACACAAGTACAGTGACTGTATCATACATGTAGTGTGCATACTGGTATAAGCACACAGACCTCTCTCCCTGACTTTCCTCCTGAGTTTGGAGCTGGACCTCATGAGCAGGGGGTCAGGTGAGTCATCATCGTCCCTCCCCGACAGCCGACTCTCGATGACCAGGTGTGTGTACGATTGGAACTCCTGCTCCAGGTGCGAGATGCGCTCATTCACCTGCTGGATCGAACCAATCAAGAAAGCTGGCAAGGGGAGTCAAGGTTAAATCTGCTGTGTGGTACTGGTACATTTGTAGTAGATTCTTGGCTATTTTCCACAATATTAGATATCCAGGTATGCAATAGCATAATCGGCCATTTTCAGAGAGACTTACAGCTTAGACAGACCGCTCTAATTCACCGTAGAGCGTATTTGGCATAGAGCGTAATTCGTTGTTTTGATTCTACATACTGCGTTGTAACTACCCGGCATTTATCGTAAATCAAAATGGGGAGGCTTCTTGAATTCAGCGTGATACATAGCCAGCTCTCAAAATTTAGCATAGAGCGTTGTAGGGACCCCCCATGCAGGCCCTCATAACAACATCAGAACAGTGCATACAGGTCTGTATTGACATCTAAAATAAGGTAAACCACAATGCCAAAACTAAAGGTAAAATTGATCTTTACACATATTTTGATACTTATCGGTGGAAAATAAAGATCCAACCATCAATTGGTCATAGTAAATGGCAAAGACATTTGATGCAAACAACTGAAAATCAAATTTCCCGCTACAGCGTCCCATAGCAACAGGTCCATCCGTGCCAAACTTATGACTAGCAGGGTTAAACCTCGAGTTTTCTTTCGTTTTCTTACGATTTGGTGCCTAAAAAGGAAGGATACGGGCTGAGACTTCTTGCTGCTTCTGTAACGCCCGGTGTTTTTGTTCTACGGACCCGGCCGGGGCCAGTAGGTCCTCTTCTAACAGGTTCATCGGAGACGCAGTTCGGGTTATGGCCGCCATCTTGTTTGTTGTCATTGGTGCACCGGAAGTTCTATGGTTGTCCTGACTTTCATAAGGGGGGAGAGCTTTGAATATTATATTTTGTTGGCACTAGAGTATAGCTTTCGTTTCTTTTCCTTTCCAAACAATAAATAATAAAGGTAACCATTACTATATTTGAAATTGTGGTATTATGTAGAGAATAATTATATTTATTTGAATTTTTCTTTATTTGTTTTAGGGAAAAGTAGACTCATCCATAGGGAGGAGGGGATTCTGGGTACATATTTTTCCAAACCGTCGTCCAGCTGTCTGACCGAGCGATGTTCCTTTCTTTCGACACTAGATGACAAATTATCGGACGCGGGTACGACTTTCTGTGACCCCTGATAAAATAGCCGAGATACTTCAGGTGAGCTTCTGATTGAGAGTGAGTCAGTAAGGGACTCGTGGCACCTATATTTAGCCCAGAAAACTATATTATATTTTTGTAAAGCAAGCATTATGCATTGATTGGATAGGCGGGGGGGGGGGGGGGGGATTTATAATTTGACCCATGGGGTTCAAGTTACAAGCTCATGCATAAATATAATAGAGTTCTGTTCAATCAACTTTTGACAAAGATCATAACAGAAAGCGTTGCATTGTTGTACTTGAATTAATATTATGAATGACAAGAGCATATCAGTAACCAAGGGAATTTACTAGTAGAACTTTGCCATAATTTTGGTGCACTAATCTACTAGTATGTGCCTAACATGAGTGATAGTGTTAGTGGTAGACAACACACAATGCATAATATGATATATATGTATATATTATGCATTTTGTTAGGTAGTGTGACAGTGAAATATCAGAAACTGTCAATTCGAGTCCCATTGAAATAGGCAGGTCTAACGTACTACGTAAGTACTAGTACAGCTGTACATGAAAATTATGTTTGTAAGCTGCAATAATCTATGATATCATTATGTCGTGATTTCAGCGATGCCGCTGTTCGGAAACAAGTTTTCGCCCAAGAAGACGTCACCACGGCGGTCAGCCTCACTATCAAACCTGACCACGATCGACGAGGCGCAGAAGGCAGCAGAGTTCGGGCTGGACTATGGACCAATCAGGGTGAAGCTGGGAGGCACCGAGATCCAGTATCAGGACGGACAGTGGATCTCAGGTTCATATGTTTGCAGATCACATGAATGGGAAACTGCCTCAAGCCGTAATACACCAGTTCTCACTTCCACAATATGATGAATATACAGTACTGATCCTAAGCCAATGGCCTAACCATGCTCTAAGGTCCGCTCCCCGCCAACGGACCTTGGGTAGCGGACGAAAGCTAACAAGGCTGACACTCAGGCTACTAAGTACCTGCCTGCAACTCAAAGAAACATAATATAGGTGGCATCATTTTGCATATCACAGACAACTTGGGCAATAGATCAAATGTGATAGGTTTATTTACAGTACCATCTTTGCAGTTCAGACAAAACTAAATCGGCTTACAAATGTGTCTTCATTCCTTGTGTCAGACTCAGAGACTATCATTCTTGTATAGGACTGAGTAGCCATAGCTAATGCTGGAGGGCTGATGTAGAATAGTGAGAGAATAACTTCTCAGTCAACTGAACTCCTGATGTGTCTGTTTCTTCCTCACCCTTCCATGTTGTTGTTCCAGAGGGTGGGGGGAGTGGAGTCAGCCATCGGGAAGTGGTGAAACTCAAGAAGGACAAACAGAAGCTGGAGGAGGAGAACAACCTGCTCAAACTGAAGATGCAGATTCTATTGGACATGGTCAGTATTCACTGTTCTTCGTTGAAAATATGTAGTACTCCCCATAGTGCTGAACGATCACTATGGGGAGAAAAAAGTTATTCTTCAGTTAGACGTGAGACTTGACCACTATAATGTACAAACTACAATGTATTACTAGTATTTATTGGCTACTTGTAAAACTTTCTTTACATGCAGTGTTTGCTTGCAGATTAGACCTGTTTGTGTTTACATGTGTTTTGTACTGTTTTCCTGTCAGCTTGCAGAGCAGACCTGTGAGTCCCACCTACTAGAGAAGGAGGTTCAGGAGATGCGGGGAGGGAAGAGCAAGAAGAGATGAGATCAACAGATTGTTTTGTGCTGTTGCTGCCATAAGACTGAGGTGGACGCAAGTCCTCAGCTACAGCATCATCATATGACAAGTCCTGTCATAATACTGAGTCAGAGACTTGGAGACAATGCCTGCAACAAGTAGTGTATGTGTATGCAGGACATTATACAGCATTTTCCATACAGGGCAGTGCTTCCAACTTAACTTTCCAGTAGAAATGCAGGAACAATTCTACAGAGACTTCTCATGAGACATGAAGGAAAGGTGGCAATTATACTATTGACAAGACTTTTGATGTCCTGTCAGCGTTTTCCATACCTATAACCAGTAGATTCCAGACCATGTTGTCTTTCTCAATATGTAGATTTGTACATACTAGTATACAGTTGTTACAAGTTGTTTTTCATGTACCAGCCTATACAAATGTATATCATATTCACGCTCCAGTTCAGAGAAGCAATATGAGGATGAATAATGAGCTAGAATAGGATGGATGCCAGGCAGCTGATGCCAGGCAACTGCTAGTAATCATTACCACTTGTGGAATGGTAATGGATTGTTATGGGTTCTTAGTTCTTTCACTGACCCATACTTGAAGAAACTTCATGAATTACAAATAAAGAAAAATATATTCCTGAGGAAGAGCTTTTGTAAAATAAAAGACAGAAAACTCAAACTTCTGGCTATTCTTTATTTTCTGTAGGCAATACAGAGAAAAAGCTTATTCTTGCAGTTTTCATTATAACCTGTTCAAGAAGCTCAATTTATCAAGTTCAAGAAGCTCAACTTTGGGAATTTTTTGTTGAAAAAGTAGGGAAGTACGGAATATCACAGCTGTTCAAAGATAGTTTGTACCCTTTCCTTTGGCCAAAATTTTAAGGTAAATTGTACTTGAATGTTAACTTGAAACATTTTGTCATCCAAACTATTAAACAAAAAGAACAGTAGTTGCATCCATGTTCAATTCACATAACTGACCTCTGCTAATACTGCATCCACTAACATGATTGGAATGAACTGTGACATATTTCTACATATGTCTTGTGTTACCTTTTCATGCCTTTACCCTAATAGCTAATAATTTGAAATTCTAAGGACTAAACATGTCTAACTGAAGTTCAGTTGTTGCAGAAGTTATCTTGGTTGAGGTTGCATGCCAGGGGGTAGGGGCATGCCAGCAATGCCCCCTTGCATTCCTCCAGAAACAGCAGCATTTGGCCCAAGAAGAATCTGTGGTAAAAAAAACAACACATTTTTAGTAAGTACAAGTCCTAGCAGAGTTAAAATGTAAGAGCAGTAACTGTTGTATTGAACTATTCAATATAACAGTGATGTCATAAGAAAGTCGGTTAGTCCTCTCTGTTTAACAGTGAGTCTTGTTTGGTATAAGATTCAAAACAGTCTGGCTTTTGATAGACCTTCTGCTGCTGGTAAGACATTCACCCTAAGATTGCTTTAGGATCATCACCTGTCTTTGTTGCTGCAACTGCTGCTGCTCCATCTGTGCCTTCTCTGTCTCGAAGATGACAGGGAGGACCAGAATCATAAAGGATGTGCTGACGACCCACAGACTCCGCCGTGTGAACTGGTACAGCCACTTGGTACCAGACACCGACAGTGAGGTCACCCCAGACACTCCATTCCGCAGGCTGTCTGGGAACATCTCTGTGAGACCCACCAGCCGCTCAAACACCGTCTCATCTTCAATGTCCTGAGAACAAGAAAGGGTAAGGTTAGAACCTCATAAAACATCTATGTGACACCCACCAGTTGCTCAAACACCGTCTCATCTTCAATGTCCTGAGAACAAGAAAGGGTAAGGTTAGAACCTCATAAAACATCTATGTGACACCCACCAGTTGCTCAAACACCGTCTCATCTTCAATGTCCTGAGAACAAGACAGGGTCAGGTTAGAACTCCATTAAACATCTGTGAGACCTATATCGGCCACCACAGAAATAATGCCTCACCTTCAATGTCCTGAGGGCAAGACAAGGTGGGGTTTGAAGTTCATAAAACATAGTATCATGTATGTGAGATGCAGTTTTCAAAGTCCCACTTTCCAGTCTACGAATACATTAGTGTGATACCCACTGATCATTCAAATCAATATGCATGACTTCGTTCATTGTCCTCTGTGGGGGAGAAAGGTAAGATTGAATGATTGAATCTTCCCAAAACATCTGTATGTGGCTTTTCCACACAACAACAACATTCCACTCAGAATTTCTTAAAACAAGTGATACTCGATTTTTAACCTCCTTGAAACAGATCAGTTTCCTACATGTATGCCCTTGAAGTCACTGCTCTTGGCCAGACAGTTCTTGTGGTTTATAAAAATTATCATAAGCATAAAACCTTCACATTTCTTTGGTGAACATAAACACATACAAATGTCACGACACCGTACATCTATACCGGTACGGTCATTTTTCACTAACATGGTGCAAGGTTAGAAAAAAAAAGGTTATGCATGCCCCCCTCCCCACCTAGCTATACACGTGCCATCAAAACCCAGCCGATATGCGAATATTAAAGGATGAGCGGAGTCATAAATAAACAAACCTCATCGTCTATATCATCATCGTCGTCTAATTCGTCTTCTGGCCTCCTGATTTCTTCAATTTCCGCCATAATTTGTGAAAAAAAACGAAAACGCCGCAGTCAAAATTTGTTGCCTCGAGCTCGCACTTGCTGGTAGCATCTGCACGCACACGCTAGCATAAAGAAAGCAACGGGTAATACTAAGAAAATGAATGAGATAAACCCAAATTAGCCAAAATCCAAACTAAAATAATAAAGTCATAATATTTTTATACTTTGAATCAATCATTGTGAAAACCTTTAGTATATTTAATCATACGGAGGATGCAGCGTTTGGTTGCGCTTATGTCATGCAGGGGGAAAGGTCAACGACCTTTGCCAGATACAAACATTTACAGCAGAAAGCACATGTGAACATCTACTGGTGTATATTACCTTTTCTATGCAATATAATGTGTTTGATCAATATTATGATGCTTTCCTAGACAAAGAGCAACAGGGACATTATCTTCCAGGTTCGATAAGTAAGAAATGCCCACTGTGCTTGTCTAATTTCTGCTCGACTTGGAGTGACACTGAACTGCAGAGTTTGAAGCATGGCCGGTAGTGGGTCGCTCGAGGCTCGGCTCTCGGAGCTACACGCGCTGCTTGCCGAGTCTGATCACGGCCACGGCGCGGTAGAGGCGCACAACCTGGTGGCAGACATAGCACAGATCTGTCTGCGGCACACGGCGGAAAGAGATGTCGGTAAGTGCACCAGAAAACATCTTCCCGCCATAACTTTCAGAACTTTAAATTAACAGAGCTGTTTATAGAAAAGTGATCAAACTGCCTTTGTTTACTGTGTTTAAGTTCCAGTGGTTGTGTTCTACACTGTAGTCAAAGTGAAAGCTTGAAAAGTTTTTAAAAGGCAAATAATTTACAGAGAGCATCAAACTTTCAAAGATCAGGTACAGTGCAGTGGACATGGACTGCCCCCCTCCCCTTAACACAATCAGGGAGAAAGGGGGCGTGGTTAAAATCTCCGAAACAAACTTTTGCTCATGACTGTTATTGACATACGTTGGAGGTTGTGCAGGAGGTTGGCACAACTGTCGACAGGAATCACAGCCTTCCTGATTGATTTAATTCTGTGCACGGCCTTAGGCATTGCATTGACATTCTGCTGTCTGACCGGCCTTTTATTTTATCATTGCTGTTCCTGTCCAGCCTACTGCTGTTCTGTGCTATTCCAGGAGTCAACAGGAATCACAGCCTTCCTGCGCAAAACTGTCACTCTCGACCAGGTAGGAGGAATCATCTTGGCTGGTGTGTTTCGTCAAAGGGCGGTTATACCGGCTATACACTGATACCTGAACTTGTATTGGTATAACTGCCTTTTGGCATCTAATTACTGTTTTGGTCTTTATACATGTAAAGTTATATTACATGTATGTGTACTATGTTACAATTTAGTCATGTTACCTCCCCTACAGTACCTGCCCGCAAAGGTAGAGACGCTGTCATTCCTGCTGGCTTTCTTGGAGAAAATTGGAAGGAAGATTCAGCCTCATGCAGTAGAGGTCAAGGTGAGATCTGACCCATGCCTAAATCTTGTTGTGTGACAGGCTGAATAAAAGTTCTAGACACTGTGATAGGCTGATGGTTCCAGGTTCCAGCGTGTGCAGGCTAATCATACTCCTGTTCCTTGTTCTCCCTTTTCCCCAGGAGGTGTGCATGGCAGTGTTCAGCAGGGACAGGTTGTCCAGGGTCAAGTGTGCCACATTCCCTGTCCTTAAGAAGGTGGGATTCTCCTCCTTATGATATTGAAATCAATTCACTGTAATTTAAGCATATCACAGCTTAGAATCTCATACGAATATTTACTGCAAGATCTTTGTAACTCAGTCTATCGAATGTAATACAGATAATGTTCTCATGATACATAAAAAAAGTGAGTGCTGGTACATGGAGATTTTCCAGCTGATGATTTATTCTTCAAAATCTAAATCTAGGGATTCAAACCTAGGATTATCTGATGAATATTATGATTTGTATACAATGTTAACTGAATATATGTCTATTAGTGTATAGAGTATACATGTCTGTGTGACCTGTAGGTCCTGCAGCTGACCATCCATTCCCAGCTGGGGGATGAGCTCAGGGTGTCAGACATGGTGGACAGGATGTTCCTGGAACTGACCATGAAGAGCCAAACTACTGCCACAGGTCTAGTATCACTTCAATAAAGGAACCTAGGAGTGAACTAAGATTGTTAGGGAGGAATGAATGAAGTTAAACCAGTCAAACAAGAGAGCAAAGATGTACCTTTGTGGAGTATTGAGAGAGAATTTCTTTTTTCATTCACTGTCACAGTAGTGAATTTCTTGTTGATTTTGTCAGAAAATATTGTACATTTTCCCACTTGTCTATACATTTTCAATAAGCCAACAGGCATGTGTAGCAGGAAATAGAAGAAAGGAAATGAGATAACCTTTTCTGGGACATCTGATCTAACTTCCAGTCAGCATCTTCAATGTGCCAAGAACTAAAGAAACACAAGCAAACACAAAAAACAAGGTAAAAAGTGCTAGTAATAATTATTGCAGTCAGATGAGTATCTAGTATAGCTGGCTTTTTTTAAATCAGTTTCTTATTTGACCTTACCTGATGTTGTCTGTTACTTCACAGTGAAAAGCGGTGCCCTGTCCCTTCTTGGAGTGATCTCAGAAGTGTACCCAGATCTGATGGTACAGAAGGACCACCCTGACCGCCTCCTAAAGGTGTACATCTCCATGCTGAAGGAACAGATGGAGTCTCGGACCAGGAAACCTGAGATGTTGGTCATCTCCGGCTGTCTGGAGGGCCTGACACACTTCCTTGTAAACTTCACACAGTCTGTGGAGGAGGGTAAGTTATAGCACTTATCATTTACTTATCTCTGACTTACTTCCTCTGTTCCCCTTGTTTCTTACATCTGTCATTCTTTTTTTAGGCTTCATATTTTTTTGTAATCCATGCAAGTCCTTGTGCTTCCTTGATCAAATTTGCAAAACTTGATGATGATCACTGTGATTTAATCCTCCTACCAAAACTGAGTAATGATGACCTTGAATCTCCTACAGGAAGTGCACATTCCAAGGACATCTACAACTTTACAAGGAGGGCTGTGTCACCTCAGGTGAGTTCTTGAAGAATCTTACTACTACTAATAATATGTCAATGTTCTTAATTTTTAATAAATCATCTGATACAATTTCTGTATCATCATCATGTCGGGTACTGAAAATATGTAACAAGCTTTAAATTTTGCTTCAGACAAGAATCTGTTTGCTTCTGACATAAATCTAACCCCAGCTATTCCACAAAGGAAATTTATAACAGATGTTTAACTATTACAGGTGGAGATGGCACGGTATGATGTGCCCAAAGGTCAGTGTCTACCTCTCCCCTTTTGCTAGTAGCTATACCTTTACACCTGCAGTAGACTTTTCATTAGGAGCTTAAGGGTTAAGTAAAGAAACATATGTATTGAGAGACTTCTTACTGGCCAAGAGTTAAAAACATGTTGCTTATAACTAACTGCCTACCTTCTCCAACCCCCTCAGCTGCCTTGTGGCTCCTGGCTAAACATGCTGCCCAGTTTAATGAGTACCTGATGAATGATTATGAGGTGGGTGCCATTCCATGTACCTAGAGCAAACAATACATTCAGCAATTTTAGCCATGCAGCTTCTTGTATGTAATATCACTTAATGTTGCCCATGGGAGTTATGTACAGGGCTGTGGTGACATATGTTATGCCAAACGGCAGTTAGGTTATACCTGCTAATATACAGGTACAGATACAAAACACACAGACATTAGATGAAACATGCACTGTCAGATTTCAACTGTACAAATGGAGTCAACATCCCAACAGACACATGAAACATGTAACGTTAAGTATGTAAACTGTGTGTAACAAGTTTTATGTTGCGCATAGGACATGTACAGGAAGCTGTATGAGTGGAGCCAACATCCCAACAGAGACTTGAAACAGGCTGGATATGCAGCTCTGGAGTCCTTTCTCAAACAGGCGAGACTCAGTCATTACTCATTAGATCAAAGTTCTATATAAAATGCCTTTGCATGGATGAGGGATTATCTGTCTTGCAACTACACTACATTTTGTATTATTATGATGATCATCACAATAATCAAACTTGTTGCAGGTAGCAAACAGGTGGTCCCATACTCCTCCTTCCCTAAACTGACATTTTACCAACAAGTCCCCAACAGTGTGTGAAATTCAAAGTAAGAGAAGAGCTGCAAACACACAATCCTGTAATCCCACAGAAACTAAAGCCATTGGTCATTGTTTTACAGATATCTGACATGCTGGTTGCCAGACATGAGAAGGAGAATAACAAGGCTGACCTTGCTGTATTCAAGGTAACATCATCTGTTGCAGAAAGCTACTAGTCTAAGAATGCTGATGATTAAACCTGTCATAACTTTTTTATTTACATACAACTCTATTCATTTTACACACAAATCATATATGTCAAAGATCTGTCCACAACTTTTCTAGTTATACTGTCCCAAATTCACATATTATAAGATACTCATACATGCAGGTCTGAAAAGTCTTACCTGAAAAATGGGTTGAATTGATGCTTGCTATGTCTGGAAGTATAATTATCTCATCTCTGCCCTGCATAGTTCTTTATCAGAGAGTTTCGAACCATCATCGACACAACAGAAGCTGGGACCAGGGAGATGTCCATTGCTGTCAGAGGATATGGCTTCTTTGCTGCAGTAAGTTTGCCATCAGTGACATAGAACTGATAGTGACAGTATTAATGTTCTGTCACTTACTCTTACACTTGAAATTAGGATGAGAAAAGAGTAAGTATTATTATAGTAAAGTTTGTCATCTTGTTCAAGAGCAGTCATCAGCAATCTAGCCACCATCCATTAGCTGCAAATGTGATTTTTAAGTTTTTAGGGAAGAGTTTTCATTGATCATCTCTGTCAGCTTTATTTTTTGATAAATGGACAATAGGGGGATTTTTCAGATTGGAAAAATGCCCTTTTATTTCAAATCTGACTGGCAAAATTGTTATTTTTCTAGCCTTGTAAGATGTTTTTGTCAGAAAGCGATGTGAAGTTCATGTTCAGCGAGATGATGCAGAGGAGTGAACAGCTGTACTTCGGCACAGCGGACAGCATGGAGGACAAGGTGCATCACCTGCCCAGCTTTCTGGAGGCACTGGCCAGCATTGTGCAACACCTGGACCAGGTAAGCATTGTGCATCACCTGGATCAGGTAAGCAATGTGCAACATCTGGATTAGCCAAACATTGTGCAACTCTTCGACCAGGTGATAAGCATTGTACAATGCCAGGTCGACGTCCTGGATCAAGGAAGCATTGAGCAAATTCTCCCAGTATATGTATTTCTGTTGGCACTTTTCATTATTTTTTCCTCCGCCTCGCACATAAAGTATGTGCATCACTGGATAAGTTTGTATGAAGCATCCAATATGTTGAGTATAAAATAGAGCAGACACAATGATTAAGTATCATTAGACTGAGACGACTGATTGTTCCTCCTGACTTACAATGTCATTAGAACATTTTCTAATGGCTGACCTTTGCCACCCAGTTGTCGGACATGTTTGTGACATCACTGGAACGGCTGGTTGTTGTCCTGTTTGAGAACTTCCCGCGACTCGGCAAAAAGATGCACCTGATCTGTCAGAAGGCCATCCTGAAGGTCCTGCTGGCTCTGGTGCCGAAGGGAGCCACGCTGAGAACTTTCCTCAGCAGGATAGGTAGGTCTGAAAACTGTTCCAAGGGGCCACACTTAGCTGCAGACATTTTTTTCAGTTAGACAACCTGGCCCAAATGGGTCAACTCGGCCAGACTTTTACATCCCTCAGTAGGATATGAATTGTGCTTTTTTATTACTACCGGTATGTACAAAATGGATTATTCTAGTTGAGTGTTAACACTGTACTCTCTGTCCACCTCCAGTCTACCAGGCCCTGATCCGGACATGCTCCCACCCTAATGTCATAGAAGGAGTTACGGTGAGCAGCTGCGTATTTGCAAAAAGCTCTGTCTGCTGTAGATACAGTTGTCTGTGAACATTGTACATGTATACCTTTGATGACTAGACTTCATCAACATATTTTTCATCAACAGTTTTTGTTTTATTTCACTGAAACTGACTAAAGTAAATAATGACTGCATAATTTGAAATTTCAATTTCGAAATCATTTTTCCATCAGGCGGAAGATGAGGACCTCCCAGTAGCTTCTGGTGAGGAGGGAGGGGAACAGCAGCCACAGCAGCCACCGGTCAAGCGGTTCTCCTACAGAGACTACCTGGAGCTGTGGGGCAACCTGCTGGACAGCTCCAGACTCAAGGTTAGGGTTACACAGCAGGGTAACCTGCTGGACAGCTCCAGACTCAAGGTTAGGGTTACATAGCAGGGCAATCTGCTGGACAGCTCCAGACTCAAGTTAGGGTACACAGCAGGGCAACCTGCTGGACAGCTTCAGACTCAAGGTTAGGGTTACACAGTAGGGTAACCTGCTGGACAGCTCCAGACTCAAGTTAGGGTTACACAGCAGGACAATCCGCTGGACAGCTCCAGACTCAAGGTTAGGGTTACACAGCAGGGCAACCTGCTGGACAGCTCCAGACTCAAGGTTAGGGTTACACAGCAGGGTAACCTGCTGGACAGCACATCAGGCAAATCACTCTTTGATGTCATATCTCATTTTTATGACACTAGCTGTGCTGTACATTTTTTGTTGATGTTTTGTTTATTGTTGTTGACAGGAGCTGTCCCAGTGGGGTGTTGCTGTAGCTGACAGACAGGCAATGCACAGGATGCTGTATGATGAGTTGGTGACCTCTGTTCTCAAGGTCATCGACAAACTTGATCTGACGACCTCCAAACAGGTGGAAACTGGCAACGAGGAGGTTAGACCTGTTAATAGTCTTCAGCCATGATAAAATGTTGATGATGACTACCTTTAAATGTAGTGCTTTTTGGCCCAAAAAACTGTAGGAATATTGACTTTGTTTTGCTTGTTTTTATAGAATTTCTGTCCATCTTTGTTCATTTCAGCTGACTGCTGATGTCTCTGGCTCCCAGGATGGGACGACCTCTGACCCCTTTGCAGGGCTGCAGGCAGCCAAACCAAGAGACTTTGTGGTTTTCATCAATGTGGTGGATTTCTGCAGGTCACTTTGAGATTTTATGGCAGGGATCTTCATTTTTGAGTGATTTCTCAGATTTCAAATGAGTCATCATGACATGTTTTCATTTTCATTGCTGCTTTATTGGCAAGGTAATTGCTGTGACAGCATCACACAGAACTGTGATTTTCAAGACATGCTATTTGATCATGCCCCGTTCTGCCCCCTGTAGGGACTTGTTGCCTCACCACCACCCTGAGTACTTCCAGCGTTGGGTCTTCACAGTTGGACATGCCCTTATCCTGCACTCTACCAGGTAGAACTCAGATGTCATGTTCTAAAATTACAAAATTATGGAAACAATCTGACTTGTAGATCAAATTCAGTGATTTATATATTAACATGTTGTACCTATTCTTGGTGGAGGAACTTCTCGTCAGTTACTATTTGGCTTTGTGAATTTACAAGAAAGCTTTTGTTTTAAATTTCACTGTGTTTTTGGCTTGCTTTTTTTGTTAATTGCTGACTGAAGAATTATTGGTTATGAAGAGGATAACTGAAAAGTTTATGCCTTTTACCCAGACTCCCCCTTGTGAGCGGTTTCTACAAACTCCTGTCTGTCTGCATGACCATCTGTACCAAGGTCAAGTACTTCAAGGTCAGGCAGTTTGCTTCAGGTTTTACATTTAAAAGATACATTATTAATTTTCATGTACATGCATGTATGTGGCATCATCACAAGTTCTAATAATCTGTAGTGGTAAACATATGTCATGTAACCTGTATCTCTTTCTTTTGACAGGATCTGGACACAAAATTGCTCAGCTTCTCGGAAGAGTCCATGGACACGGAAGGGAGGGACAGGCCCTCGGAGGGACAGGCCTGCTTCACTCTGTTCAGGAAATTTGTCAAAGAAGTAAGTTAGATTTTCTGACATGATCATTTTTTTTAAATTCTGGTGTAGACCATGTATATTAGACAGAATGTTTCTCCAGGAACATTTTTGCCTCCCCCCATTTTTTTACCAAATGTACCCCCTGTACCCCCCCAGGTGTTAGTGAGGCTTAAGCAGTACAAGGATGACCTTCTGGCCTCCTGCCTGCTGCTCGTGTTGTCACTGCCACATCAGATTGTCCAATCAGAGATCAGCACACTGGTCCCAGCCCTACAGGTACACACCTTAGATTTTCAAATTGTTATTTTCAAATTTGACTTTGACTTAGAATTAATTCAGTATGAGTGCACTTTATCAAACCAAAGTTCAAGACTGTTATTTCGTGGACCTGCTAGTTTTGTTTCTCCTCCAGACAACATTCCGGCTCGGCTTGAGTTACCTGCCACTGGCTCATGCAGGGCTGGACGCCCTGGAGAGGTGGTTACTGAACCTCCCCCGCTCTGCCCTGGAGCCACACTTCCCTCACATCCTGCCCTACCTGGACAGCTACCTACAGACAGCTGCTGACACAGGCCCTTCCTTCCTTCTTTGAAGTGCCTTCCTTGCTTCCTTCCTTAAACATCATCATCAACTACATCATTATCACAGATAATGTACTTTAAGAACTGGACTTAATTTTAAGTTGAGTTAAGCTAAGTTTTGAAGAAACTAATAGATGTTTTCTACCATCTCAGTTGCTAAATGTGACATTTTATTCTAAATGCTTGATGCTGTATTCATTGTAGTGTTTTATTGACAGCTGGAAGAATATCTTCTTCCACAGCTGATATTGTACCATTATAAATCTGGAACAGATCAGCTTTCATTCTAACACCCCTCCCCCAGGTTCATCTAGCAGTAGTGATGGTTTCCAGACCGTCTCCCTGACTGCAGCCTCCTCCACACGAGGGAAGAGGAAGATTCCTGTCAAACTCCTGAAGGCTGCTGCAGAACGAAACCAGGTGTGATGGCTGCACGGTTCGGTCAGAGATTGTTACAATTTAAACTTTACAATGTAGTAATGTGTACAAGAATTGTCATTGATGCTTTGTTTCCATTATAAGGTCCAGGAGAGTGACCTAGTGAAGGCTAGACTGAGGATAGTCCGGTTCCTGGGCTCCTTAGGAGGCCACACCAATGCATGTCTGGTGACTGGTCTAACGGCGGAGGACCTGGCAAAGCGGGCTGTAGCCTGGGACACACAGACACACCTGCAGTTTGCTGTTCCTTTCATGGACATGAAGCCTACGGTGTGCCTGGGTGAGACTATTATATATAAGTTATAACATTTTAGTCTAGTTTTGTACTTAACACCTTATACATGTACATGTACAAGGTTGATTTTTTCGATGGTGTCAATTGCTTTCTCCACATCAGATGCTCGAGTTCAAATAGAATAATCATAAGACAAGAAGTGTACTTACATGTAGCAACCCTCATCTGAAAACATCAAATATAAAACAAGCCAAACATGTTTTTTTCTCCTTGCTTACTTCTCCAGACCCCTTCTTGCCCAGGATCTGTGAGCTGGCCACCACCTCAAGTGACCGACAGACAAAGGTAGGGGAAAGTCCAAACGTAATAAGACTGTTTTCAATTCTTACATTTAATTTAGTACTTACACTGACTCATTATACTGGGATTGATAACCCAGCTACATCTAAACAAATCTTTTGTGACTGTAGGTAGCAGCCTGTGAGCTCCTCCACTCTCTGGTGCTGTACATGGTTGGACAGGGAGCTCAACAACCTGGGGAGATGCAGGCTAAGGTGTGTGTTCAGTTTTTGTAGCTGTTAAAGTATGAGTTCTACATTTCTGTTACTGTTGTCTGCATATTGGTGCAGTGCCTTGTTGCATGTTTGGGAAATGTTGCAATGTGTTATTTTTTATGTTAGTGTTAACCACAGAACCCAATGTATTTCCCAGAACCCAATGACCAGACTGTACAAGAAGGTGTTCCCTGTCCTGATGCAGCTGGCCTGCGATGTGGAACAGGTGGGTCAAAGATCACACTTCTGCCTCTCTCTTCCTACAGGAGCCTTCCCATGTATTGTATTTCAAAGTATGAGAAGTATGTCGCTGTTTTGTTTGGATTTTGTTAGGCAACTGTTTGACTCACGTGTATTGATTTTGTTTTGATGTGTCTTGGAAAATACTCAACCTTTGTTTTTCTGTTTGCTAGAGCTGTTTAATCTTGTTTATTGTTTTTCAGGTTGCTAGGCAGCTGTTTGACCCCCTGATGATGCAGCTGATCCACTGGCTGACCAACAACAGGAAGTTTGAGAGTGAAGAGACCATCACCCTCCTGGATGCCATTATGGTCAGATTTTCCATAATATACAAACATGAACAATCGAACTTTGTAGTAAGCCTATACAGCCAAACTTGTCCTAGCGAGCATGTACAGTCAAACCTGTACTTACGTAGCCTGGGTACCATCCTGGTTAGTTAACGTCCGCTCCCACAGTTGCTCCCACCAACCAAGTTTGACTTGCAAGATGTTTGTAAGCAGCTTCCATTCAGCCTATATTTTAAAGTTTTTTCTTGTTTACAGGATGGTCTGGTGCACCCCACAGACACCGCTCTGCGTGACTTCAGCTCACGGTGTGTGAGGGAGTTCCTACAGTGGTCCATCAAACAGACAACCCCTAAGGTAGAGTCAAACAGATGTCTGCTTAGGTAGGGTCAAGGATCAAACAGATTCAAGAGCCTGGATTCCACCATACACCTGTAAACAAACATGCATCCCTAATTCCTTGTCTTTTGGTATGATTTCTGAATATGATCTATGTTTTTGGCTTTTACATTATCTGCCTCCTTTTTGTCTCGGTTGAAGATGGCTTTCACAAGACAGGTCCCGGCATCTTCTTTGGTGGCTGAATGAGTCAATTCAATTCAATTTTTTTTGCCTTTACAGCAACTTGAGAAAAGCCCCATCAACATCAAGTCCCTGCTGAAGCGTCTGTACAGCCTGGCTCTCCACCCGAACCCCTTCAACAGGCTTGGGGCAGCCCTGGGCTTCAATAGTATCTACAGGGACTTCAGGTGAGATGCTTGAACCCTGACCCCCAACCCAAACCAAACCTACCCCATCCTTAAGTCAAACCAAACCCTGTCCCACCCTACCCAAATCAAACCCTGCCCCTAACTCCCAACGCAACCCAATCCTAGCTGTATAGAAACTTAAGGACTGAAAAATCTTAACGTGGTTAAAAATGTGGTTAAAAACTGTGTTGATCTTTTTTCTGTCTCGAGTTAGTAATTCTTTTGCTTCATAGAGACAAGGAGTTCCACATGTGGACATGGTCATGTTTGATGTTCCTGTTAACCTTTGCCCTAACCTGTTGTAACCTACGATCTTTACCCTTCCACCCCACAGAGAAGAGTCGTCCCAGGTGGACATGTTTACGTTTGAGCTCCTGGTGACGTTTGTGGAGAGTCTTGCCCTGGCCCACCACGATGAGAAGTCTCTGGGCACCCAGGCCCAGTGTGTGGCTGTGTTAACTCATCTGGACAGGATCATCACCACTAAAGCTGACCTGCTCAACAAACACAGCAAAGTCAGGAGGGTGCCCAGGTAAGAACTGTTAGTACTGAACACAGCAAAGTCAGGAGGGTTCCCAGGTAAGAAAATGTTAATACTGAACACAGCAAAGTCAGGAGGGTGCCCAGGTACAAACTGTTAGTACTGAATGCAGCAAAGTCAGGAGGGTGCCTAGGTAAGAACTGTTAGTACTGAACACAGCAAAGTCAGGAGGGTTCCCAGGTAAGAAAATGTTAATACTGAACACAGCAAAGTCAGGAGGGTGCCCAGGTACAAACTGTTAGTACTGAATGCAGCAAAGATTAGTACTGAATGCAGCAAAGATTAGTACTTAACACAGCAAAGTATGGCAAGTGCCCTGGTAAGGATCACTACATTGTACATGGGACATTTTGAAAGTTGGATTTGAAAGTTGGATTGAAAGTCTTACCACCTCCCACAGTTACTCCTCCATCACCCCACATGATTGCCTGTTGTATCTACAGGGGTTTTGACCGGGAGAGCCCCCCTACGCTGCCAGACCTGGTGACCTGGCTGCTGCAGCAGTGCGGCCGCCCGCAGACCGAGTGCCGCCATCGCTGCATGCTCCTCGTCTGCAGCTTCCTCCCTCTGTTACCACGGAAACCCTCTCCACAGGCCTGGATGAAGGAGAGGCTGAAGGAGGATGGACCAGATTTTTTCATCACAAGGTAGGGTGGCTACTCAGTTATACTGAAAGACACCAACAAACAAGATTGAAGGAAAGGAAGGCAGTTGGGCATTTAGAACCACGTTGAATTCAGCACCATGGACAGGAGCTTGCATCATTTTTTCATTAAAGCCTAGACTTTCATGCAAATGTTGTGAAGATGGGAATGGAAGGCTTTGATAACCAATTTTGAATTAAAATCCACCCAACCGCTTATTCAAACTTTTCTGCAGTCTGTGTTAGAGTAAGATGAATAGTTTCTTACCAATAGATTCAAAAAGACATGAAGGGGTTGCAAGTCAATGGTTAAGAATCACTCAAAAATAAGCACCGTGGACAGTTATTACCAACATCTCCCTAGATAGTCTAGAGTAATACTTGAATTGTTTCCCACCTACAGATTTGAAGGAGGGGGAGGGAAGACTGGTCACAAGTCAGGCATTAAAAAACACCCAAAGATCAGCACCATGGACAGCACATTCACTGTCAAAACAGCTGTCTCCTGGTTTGACCTACTTCTGGCTGCCCTTGACAGCTACTGTTGGGTATTTGGGCAGCGCTTTCTATCCCCATCTGATGTGCTCTCAGGTAGGAACGTGTTGGATGTATCTATGCTATTTTCAGCTGTGCAGTTTTTATTTCATGTACAACATTCTAGCACACATTGATATACAGTAGCACTAAGCAAGAAATCTTGAACATTTGGCTACATTATGCCAAAATTCTTCCCTATAAAACATAGGTTCTTTGTATTTTGCAATTTTTGCATCAGGCTATCATCTAAATACAATAATGTTCCGAAATCAGGTTCAGGCAAGAAGCCCAGCCAGCTGTTCACTGCGCTGGAGTTTTTCCTGACTAAGCTGGCCCTGTCAGACATCGATGCAGCGGCACGGTGCTTTGAGTCACACGGGGCAGCCACGCTGTTCACGCCGCGGGAAACAGAGGATTACAACTACGGGAAGTGCACGGTCATTGTACGAATAATGGACTTCTTCACGGTGCTGCTGGGTGCATTTCCACAGGATGCCTACAAGGTAGGACTGCTTAGAAATTATCAGAGTATAGTAGCCTTTGACTTTAGTGTGACTGCTTTGATAGTGTGGGGTTTTCATTGGGATTGTTTCTCCAGGGTTCAAGTAATTTTTATCCTCTGTTTTTCCTCAGGTTGTTCCCGATGCTGTATGGAAGAGCCCCCTGTATGATATGGTTGTAACTGCAGCACTGGAACCGACAGCGTTGGGGTTCAACATGGGGGATGTAGAGATCATGGAAAAACTGCCACAGGAGGTAAAAAAACATGCAGTATCTTTGCTGTTGATCATTTGAAACTTTTGAGGCATTTTCACATTTTCTTAATATTTGACATAATATTTTTCTTCAGACAAAGCAGCTTCTCCTGCTGATGTGCAGGTCACTACCATCCCAACAGGGGGCGCTGCTCAAGTCACAAGTGGCAGCAAAATTGTCTCGTAGAAGGTCTGCATACTTTTTACAATTTCATGAATGTGTTGCATTGGATGGAGTCAAGTCTCCATTTTGAGCAAGAGACTAGTACATACATGTAGTATGTAGTTTGGAAAGTACCTTTGATGTAAAGGTATGAGTTGAAACCTTGAAGATTCTTTAGGTAATGAGCAAAACTGCTTCCAAGGTAAGCTTCTTTGCTTCTCAAGGTGTGCTCAAATAGAATATAATTACCATTATTGTTTAGTGGTGAATAATTATATAGAATCATCTTCATTTCTTTTAGTCAGGGCCTATGGTAACTTCCAATACCAATGATTGATTGATTGACTAATTGACTGATTGTTTGATGCCACAGTTCCCATGACCTGTTCTCCCACCTGCCGGAGGTGTCTGCCGGAGTGGCTGAACTTGACCACGTCAGACTGACCCTCATGGTGTCGGGTTACCAACAGCTACACAATGCAGGCCTTCTGCTGCCTGCACTGGTCAGTTTGTTTGTTTGTTTGTTTTAGGCCTGTCTTTTCTGGTGTAGAGTTACTAATTTTTTAATCTTTGAATTATGATTATATTGGACTTCTATTCTCACTGAGGAAATTTTGCCTCTTTGTCTCTCTTCTGCAGATACTTTCATGGGCATTGTTTCAATAGACACCCACTTATTGTTTCAAGAGCTAAATTGTCACCTTATCTGTGTCTTTTTATCTTCCAAATACCAGCGTTGAAAGTTCGTTTACCAATTATTTACAGCAACAAATTTTTTGCATGAACTGGAAAATTGTTGAACTCTATTCCTGACCAACGTTTCCCTCCTAAATACATATACAACCCACAGGGCTTTCAAAACTAATGTTCACTGCCATAGCTAGCATAGTCACTTATACCTCCAATTAAATCAAGAAAATAAATTGTTGTTGCTAATTATAACATCTCATAACTCTATATCATGCCCTCCCCCTCCAGGGCACTAATTCAGGAAAGTCCCTTGCCAGTGAGCTTGTGTCCGCAGTGTTTAAGAGCATGGTCACCCGTAAGGACGGACACCCCACAGCTGCCAGCCTCCCCCCCAGCTTCCACCAGCTGACAGGGGGGTTACTGCAGCTGGCCTGTCAGCTGCACCCGCAAGGTCACGACCTTCTGGACTGTGTCATGAATAAGACCCCCCTGATGACAGGAGGAGGTGAGTGAAATATAAGTTTAACTTTTTTTTTAATCAGGTCAGCTCATAAGGACTAAGAACTAGACTGTGCATGCTCAATCTTTAAAATAATCTATCCATTCTCCGACTAGCAAAGTTCTTTATTCATAACCCCTAAGTTAAATGCTGAAGTGTTTTGCGTGAAGAAATACACAGAACAGTGCAAGAAGGGAGTCACGCTAATAGTGTACATAGTGTGTAAATCTTCAAGTTTTCGATCCCCCAATGTATACCTGGAGCAGAAGAACACTGAAAATTCAAGAGGGTATGAAGTTAGCACAATACAAATACAAAATAGGAGGTGGCACAGTGCCAATGCTAAAACTACAGCAATTCTTACTCTTCTTATTACAGAAAATATGATCTTCTATTCTCACCCTTGCGCATTTTAATGACGCTATGTCATCAAAATGAGTCGAAATGGGTATGTTCAGCATATCTTAGATGCATGGAGTTTGCCATTGAATCATTCTACAACCTGGTCATTCAGCTTATACATTCTCTGTTTCACAGGTAAGAAGTCGTCGACCTTCCAGGGCATGGTGTTCTTCAGTACCTTCAAGTCCTGCATCTGCCAACAGCTGATAAAAACCTGTGCTGAAAGCCTGCCTGTCCTCCTACAGCAGCTGACAGCTGAACCTGTCTGGGTAGGCACTGCAGTGATGAAAAATAGTTTTACGTTTTATGTTTACAGTAGCTTTATAAGAGTTCTACTTGGACTTAAAAGACTTGTAACTCGACTGTCTTTACCGAATGTACAATGTAACTTAGCAGTAGACTTCTGTGTCTGTGTGTGTGTGTGTCTGTCTGTGTGCGTTTGTGTGTGTGTGTGTGTGTGCAGTACACCGTAGTTCATGGTTATTGTACATTGAACAACATGACACACCTACACACACTGTGTCTAAGTGCTCCTTCCTACCAGTATGTCATTTAAAGTAATCAGTTTTCATTGGTGTTGAACTACAGGTTGGCAGCATCCTACATGGTTTACTGGACCATCTGGCTAAAGACAAGACCCTCAGGAAAAAGTGAGTTCCATCTTTGAGTTTGATTTCTGATGCTGATATCACTGACCATGTTGGTTGTTTGCAGCACTATGCTTTCAATGTTCTCAATTGACTACCCTTGTATGCTAAATATGCTGACACTCTATGAATCAGGTTGGTGAATGATTGGATGGCAAAGCTCTTTATTCACATAGACATCACAAGTGTTGCAAACAAACACATGTTTGTGATCACTTAAATGTATACAAGTGGCTGTGAATAAAGATCTTTGCCATTCTACATTGTGTACTCTGAAACTGATAACCAGGGAAGGGGCAGCCCTGTGCGACTCCTTACTGCAATCCTGGCCTAAGCTCGCCCCCTGGTGGGAGGAAGGTGCACTGCAGGATAGCAAGTCCACAGCCTTGACCCTGCTGAGGAAGATTCTCATCATTGACTCCCAGGTCAGTAAAAATATTCAAAACTGTTTTTTTAATTACTGCATGCAGTTAAAAAAATACACACCTCTGAGTAAGTATCTGCACAAAATCTCTGCCCCTCTCAAGTGCCCATCCTCCATTACATAACTTGAGGCATTTCTTTTTCTTTGATTTTGCAATCTGAAAACAGTTTTAAGAAGTATCCTACTGCAATCAGCCTATTTTCACATTTTGTAACAGTTTCATGCAGTTCACGTAACTTTCCACAGTGGAAGTGTCTAGTGACTGTTCCATTCTATTTCCAGGTGTCCCGTGACCCCGCACACCCTGCCTTCCAACCTGTCTTCACCATGTACCTCGACATGCTGACAGACTCAAGGTCAACACTGCCCTTCAAGGTCAGCCAGTCATGTGTACATGTACAGTACATTCAACATGTACTAGATGGTCTTCAAGTTCATGCTATAAAACAAGACTAGTGACTGTACACAAGAAAATTCAAGCTTTTAATTAGTTTGTTTCATTTTGTGGAAAATGAATAACAGGAAATAAAGAATGAGAGTAACTAAGTCAGACTTTGATTTAACCTATTATGTTCTTTCAATGTGAGTGTGTTTGAGACATACATAATTGTCACAACCACGTCAGAGTTAACACACAAGTATATTCAGAGGAATCAAGTGCAAATTTCCCTGTTCTCCACAGAGCCAGGTTCTGGACCTGCTGCCATTCTTCACTGTCCTGCCCCAGACTCAGCTGGCTGAACTCAAGTAAGTACAAACATTACTGTCCTGGCTGCCACATATAGTTTTTTTTACACACCAGTACAGGGAAGTCTAAAAGGGCTACAGTTTCTGAGCTTAAGCAGCTTGTGTAGAATGTAGAATTATCGTTTTTATCATATTAGGTAGGGTGCATTTTCTTTACATGTATATTCCATATAATGTTATTCTCTGGTTTGTCTTACAGTTTTGTGCAATGTACATGTATGTTGATAAATAAAGGCTGCTGTGGAAGAATGGCAGCTGCTACAATATGGATTGTCATACTAATTGTGGATCTGAGAAAAATATCAAACTCAAAGACTGAAAGTCACTGTAGTCCTAATTTGTTGATACCATAGCAGGGCCTTTCGGCTTTCCCCCTTTACTGAACCCAGATGGGCTTCTCTACTACCTGTAAGTCTTGCTGTTTCCCTGCTCCAGGGCCAGACTGGACAGGATGGTAGCTGACAATTTCCCCCTCAAGTCTGCAGAGTTCCCAGCTGGCAGCTCCAAGTACAATGACTACGTTGGTGCTGTTACCAAGGTAATAAGATGAAAACATCCTTTCTCTTGATGAAAAGGCTAACTATACAGTAACTGCTTTTTCAAAGTACAATATGATTGGATGCTACAGAGCTGCAGTCCAGCAGTTGCATGATTTCCAAATACAACATACATTGTAATTTGATAAGAAACTGCTTTTGTGTCTCAAAATATGGCTTTACATATAAATGTATGACTTAGTCTATAACTATAGAGTTTTGATGCTGCATCTGTTTACCACAGAATGAGTTTTCCCATGTGTTGCCTCCAAGCTATTGAGTGATCTAGAGCTGTCCACTGCTAGAGCTGCTCATCAGTGTGCAACTGCTTGTTTCCCACTAAGGATAAGTTTCCCCATGTGTTACCTCCCAGCTGCTGAGTGCTCTGGAGCTGTCCAGCAGTTTGATGCTGCTGGAGCTGCTCATCAGTGTCATGTGTCGCGAGGCCAAGCACGTTATGGAGGACGACATACAGACTTCACTGTCACGGTTCATCAAGGGGTAAGGAGGGTTGGAGAAATGAAGCAAAAGGCACTTAGTTTTATTCTATTTATCTGTAGTATTTATCACCAACATCCCAGTCTTGTATTCTCATCCTCAAATTTTACTTTCAAACTAAGTTTGCTAAGAGGTAGCAAACCAGATGCAGTTGCTGGCAAAAATGACCCGATACTTGCCATTCCAGCATGGGAGCAGACAGACAGAAGCCAGCCCTGGATATCCCATATGGAATATTCCGCAGGGAAGGCAGTTTTCCCAACGAGATCCGGAGGTCCGCGCTGGAGCGTGTGTGCCTGCCCATGTTGCGGCTGGTCCACCCGGCTGCACTCACCGAGTTCTTCACCGACCACATCAGAGAGATCATGGACATCATCGGGGCTCCCCAGACTAAGGTTTTCTACTGTTTTGAGCTTTGGTTTGCATTTCAACAATTTGAAACAATCTGATTTAAGATACCAGAACTGTACATTTACATGTATGTACCCATACAAACTGCAAAAGACATAGGATGTACACATACTGTCAAGTGTATCAAAGCTGTACAATTTAGTCCTCTGGCTGCAAACAGGCTTTTGTTCCCATTGTCTACATGTACTGAAGTGACATGTTACCATTTGGTCCAGGCTGGTGAGGCTTCCCTTCGCACCCAGCTGACCAACAAGCTGTGCTGCTTCCAGCTGCTGGAGACCATGTACTCTCGCCTTCCCAAGGAGGAGGTCAACACGCCCCCCTCCCGCATTGTGCGTGCCTACAAGGGGGAGGAGGTCAAGGCTGGGAACGAGATGACCACTGCCATCACTAAGTGAGAATTGGGAATCGTTCTCTGTTTAATTTAAGTTTTTTTCCCATCCTTCAGCCTTGTTTCTAAACTTGAGTGTCATCTGGGATCGTTTAGCCACTTATAACATGTATGCCCTGCCTGATATTCTAAGTTCATTTCTTTACAATTTTGAACTACCTGAGTGTGTGCTTATGCAACAGAGTGCTAGCCAAGAAAGTTGTTTCCAGTAATTTTTTTGAAATAGTTTTCTTTTTTAGTTTTTGACTGAATTGACATATTTTCCTTCTTTCCAGATTTGGACATGCTGCAAAGAGCGAGGATCTGCGAGGGGAAACGGGGCTCCTGGATCTGCGACGGGAGTTCCACTGCGCGGCATACAACGCTCTCATCGCCATCATCTCCTGTACACAGACAGACATGAAGTTCTACACCGCATTCCTCTTCCAGGAAAACACAGCAAAGGTACACTTAGTCAGGCACTTCCTGCACAATTTTACAAGTCTTAAAAGTAGAACCCAGTTTTACAGCAAATACTGCAAAGTTAAGGACATCCACTTTTAATTTTGTGTTATACAATTCAATTTGGGTTTCAGTAGTTTTTGAGTCTAAATAAGCCCATATTTGCCTCCCTCTAGGGCCAGTTCCTGCTGGACAATCTAGTGGACACTAACAAGCTCTACCAGTTTGATGCAGAGTTTTCGGTAAATGTTCCTTTTATTACTAATATTTATTGTACACCTTTGAATGGTACTACTTATAATGAACAAATGCTTATATGTGTGTTTATTTAACAGATTTCCATTAGTGAGTGTAATGTGGTAGCCAGTAACTAGAGAGAGCTGGCAGTACTTCCTGGTTACACCACTTTATATAACTCCTCTATCTCCTTCCAGGCTCCAGTCAGTAGGAAGAAACAGTTTGTGTCCATCAGACAGGAGCTCAGAGGACAAGACTCTCCAGAAGCAGGTAAGGACATGTTCTCAGTCAAAAACATTTATATACCTAACAAGATATATATCTAACAAGATAAGGAAGGTATCTGATTAAACTGATATGTGCAATATGGATAGTACAATGTATTTAGCACGATCTTGTGAGATTTTTCCATCTGTGTATAGCATAATTAACTGTCAGTGATTTATGTTTAGGGTGATATTTGTAGTAAAATGTTCTGTATGATCCAGGAGAACTGATCAATATTTAAAGCTGCCATATTGTTCTCTCCCAAGGTTCCTCCCGCTACATGCAGTCTTACCTGGCAGGAAGCAGTCTGAGTGAAGACATCAGCCAGTTTGACTTCACCAGCGGGACGCAGGTGAAACACTCGCAGGTGAGATAACACCTTTGAACAGGTATGTTGAATCCAGGTGAGTTAGATGTATCCAGGACCAATCAAGGATTCCTTCAAACATCTGATTGTGTGCTGACTTGTGATAATTGGCTTTCAACTTGTTGTACTAAGATCAAAAATAATTATACATGTAACTCTTTTACTATTTACTTTCCAGACTTTTTCCAGCACTCAAGAGAGATATTCCCAGGCCAGTCAGGGTTCCTCCAGGCTCCAGGCAAGACAACAGCAGATGGGACAGGCTAGTGTCCATTGGGTCAAATTTATAACATTGTCTAATTTCTTCATCAAAATAATTATATTCTGTAAATAATTAAGATTATTGTTTTTTATTTGCTTGTGGCTGTGTATATGTGGCTGTGTATATTTTTCTAGTGATTTTGCTGTGATATTTTGTATTCTTTCATTGGTCCTTCAGCTAAATCAGAATGTCAAATGGAATCTAACTTTGCTACTTGAATGTCCTAAGTTTGAGGATGTAACTGTTTTTGTTGATACACCCTATAGGATTCTTCTGTCAACATCCACGGTGACTTCCTGGAGATAGAAATGGATGAGTTGAACCAGCATGAGTGCATGTCCAGCATGTCTGCAGTCTTACAGCACATGGCCAGGAACAACATCACTCCTCAAGTACAGAAGGTAAGAGGGCAAGGCTGGTTAGAAACACCTTGAGAAAATTTACAGGTTATGTGATACAAACAAGGTGTAAACTGCACCAGTCCATTTCTTGGGTTCTTTTTTCGCTTTGACTCTTTGCTTCCTGGTTTTTACTACCTGTGAAATACCAAACAAAAAGTCCAAATTTTCCTCCCTAAAGGTAAATAGTTTTTCATTTTCTTTTTTTCTCTAACATCTTGACTTCTGGTCCATGCTGTAAAGGGTGCAGCCCCAAAAGACATGCCTCCATGGATGTCATGCCTGAACAAGAAGCTTGGGGGCTCTTCTACCCACAAGAACGTGAAGCTCTTCCTCGCCAAGCTGATCGTGAACAACGAGGAGGTTTTCCGTCCGTACGCGAGGTTCTGGCTGTCCCCGCTGATGGAGATGATAGTGCGAGGGGAGGCGAGTGGCGAGGGCATCAACTACTTCATCGTGGACCTTCTGGTGACCATGCTGTCCTGGGGTCCTGTAGCCATTCCTGAGGTATGGAGCTTCTGTAATAGCCTGGGACAAAATGTACTAAATTACAGGACACTAGTGACTGCAACATCACATGCACCAACCCGGACACTGACCCAAACAACTTAAAACGACTTATATCCATTGTGACGGTGTCTTATCTTGAAAGTTCATCTGTGTTGGTGGAAGTCATTATGAAAAAGATTAAACTGTGATTTCCAACACAACACAACAAAATTGGAATGTGTTGGAAATCACAGTAAGTTTCATCTTGTTAACAGTGACAGTGTCTTATTTCTCCTCAGGACTCGGCGATGGGCCGGGCCCTGACCAGCCGCCTGCTGCACTTCCTGATGGCCAACGCCTTCCACAAGACCCGGGCCGTCATGCGCAACAACCTGGAGCTCATCAAGACTGCTGTGGAGTGCTGGAAGACCAGGGTCGAGGTCCCCACCAAGTCAGTTTCATAGCGCCCTGTTGTTGTATATAAAGGCTGTCTATGGCAGTCTCCACTAAGTTGGTATGAGGAGACACCCAGGGTACACAATTTGTAGTTAGCTACAGCCATATGCCTGTGAAGCTGGTGTGTTACACTGAAAGGCTGTTATACTGGCTATACAGATACAGATGTGAAGTAGAAAATCAAAACTCTTTGAGAGTGTTGATAGCAAAGTAAGTACAAGCTGTACTCCTCTTAAATATATTTTGTATAATAAATTTCCTCATCATTGTAGATAATATACATACATGTATGTAATATACGTACATAATAATGTGAAACTTCACTACATTATCTAGAAATGAAAATTGAGGACTTCCATCTTGTCTTGCTGTAAGGGGTTAAGCTAAAGCTTAGCTTTCAGGTGTTAGAGTTCAGGCTCATGGTTTCTGTTCCTGTTGTTTCCAGGGTGATCCATGATCAGCTGTGCGGCTCGGATGCCTCCAGTAAGGCCAACTCCGTGGGGATCCAGCTGCTGGGTGTGGTGCTGGCCAATCAGCTGCCTCCTTTCAACCCCTCCACGTCCGGAAACATCGATAGGGAACAGTACGTAGAACGGACAAGATTCCTGTTTATTATTAATATTTCCAGGGCTATTTTAGAATATAGTGGTGGACAGTGGAAACAATATTCGACTACTTGAAGAGGTACAGAAGTGATAACAATGCTGCCTTGAAACGTATCACAACAAGCATTGTGAATGAGATGGTGATTTTTGCATTGTAATGTTGGAAGTGTTGTCCCTGTCCTTGGTGCTGATCTTCATGTTATGCTGCATGAATGTTGTGGTCAGAAAGTCGGTAGCAGAATTTTGCACATCATTGACAATGATTATTTTCTACCCGTTGGATACTTTGATTCTTTTGTTTATTTTTCAAGCTGGCCTTGTTTTCTTTATTGTGTTTATGTTTACAGGTTTTTCTCAGCTGTTGCCAAAAACCTGCAGCTAACCCGATACAAGGATGTCTATGCTGCTGCTGCTGAGGTTATTGGGATGATCATGAAGTACATGGCAGATGTGGAAAAGGTACAGGAGCACAACTTTCATCTCTCACCACCTCATCAGACTTGTGAACCTAAACAGACAGTCAAGCTTTCCTCTCAGACTCTGTTTTAATGTTAAACTTTGTTTTCTAGTTCAGCATCATTTTCTTTAAAACTAAAAACAACAAGTCGAACTTTTTTGTGTCATTTTCTATACAGTTGTTGTTATAAGGGCACAACATCTGGGTACATGTCTGGACATGTCTGGGTCCAACCCCGGGGATTGAACCTGGGTCCCCCTGCTTGACAGTCGGAATACTCTACCACTACACCACACAGACGACACTTTTTTTTTCTACAGGTAACTGAGGGAAGTTTCCACACCCAGGTGGAGCGATACCTGCTTCCCCTGCAGGTGAACCAACAGGACGTGTTTCTCACCTGTGTGCACAAGATACACCTGCACTTCCCACCTTTTGCAGACAGGTGAGCTGGTAGGATACCATATGCATGGTGGATGTTTGAATTCTTCGAGTAGAAAAGAAAGGAATTTCAAAGTATTTTAATTAGAGGGAAAGACTACATTTGTAAAAGATCCAATGCAGGATTGGCATGACCTAACCCCTGACCTCCAGAATTGACAGCCATGTTGTTTTTCTCCCAGGTTTGTGTCGAAGCTCCTCTTCATGCTGCCCAAGCTGCACGGAATTTTCCGCACCCACTGCCTGGAGGTCATCCGAGGTCGGGTCAATGTCATCGACAACCTCTTCCTGGAACTCAAAACCAGGAACTTCCTGGGAATGCTGACTCACAGGTGAGATACAAACAGAAACATTATCTGAATTATCTCTCATCCCTTCCTCGGCTCTCAAACTAAAGCAGTTATAATAACTTATTTAAAAAAACAAATTTAATTAATGCAGGTCCAAACGACCACTTTTAAGCATTGAGCTAAGTCCACTCAGAAACATAAAATTTGAATGCTCTCCAATATATACTCTTTTCAAAAAGTGTGGAGATTTTAACATTTAATATGTTTGATGCTGCAGTTTTCCCTGCATCCTTTAAATTCACTGCTGCAGCAACTGCAGATTGTTTTACGTTCTGCTGCAGAAGCTGCTGTGTTAAATGATGTTTTTTTGCTGCAGGGATGACGGGCTGCAGGCCATCGTGCTGCAGATTGTTTACGCCCTGCTGCAGAAGCTGAAGGTGGAGGAGCTGCTCTATCTGCTGCCGTCCGTAGCAGCCTTCGCCTCCCACCCTGCCCCAGAGTGCCGCAGGACCATGTATGACATCATGATGTGGATCTATGATAACTACAGGTCAGCCCTGGCATCAACAGTCACTCAGTTTGGCCCGATCTCAATCAGGCCAAATCAGGGACTAGGGACTTCTAGGGACTCAAGTCTTCATAGAGTGATTGTCAATTTTTCTGATTGTGGAATTTCATACATTGTTGCACATTGTACTTTCAAACGTGATCTAGATCGTGACGCAGTTGGATTCATCAAGGATTTCCTGACTGGAGGGATCCTTATCAACAGTTTGGGTACATCTTGAGTTTGTCGTAATTGACTGTTTGTTGTGTGGTGTGTTTACTCTCCCAGGGAAGAAGCGTCCCAACAGGAGTCAGCAGGGCGTGTTCTGGGGACAGCAAAGGACTGTCTGCTGCAGGGGCTGTCAGACGAGGAGTCTTACCTCAGGTCAGTCCTACATGTACATGTACATCTTAACCTCAGGCCTTTATCAAGAATAATGACCCATAATGAGTCATAAAGTCATAAAGATAAAAACCAACAATTCAACGAAGTTAACTCCTCTCCTCCATTGCTCATTTTGCAGAACTCCTGGATACAACAAGTCATAAGATAAGACATAAAACTATTTGAATCATTCTTTACTCCCTAGAAGCTCAAATCTGCCTGCATACCTCTTTTCACGGAGGTCATGAGGGAAGAGGTAAGGGTCAGACAAAATAGATAAAAAAGATAAAAGTTAACATCATTTTCATTGTTTCAGACTTCTTGTGCAGAACTTCTGGAGCCATGAGACCCGTCTGCCGACAGGGACCCTGGAGCGGCTGGTGGCCATGTTGGAGTGCATGCACTCCCCGCGCACTGAGCCGCAGTACCTCAGCTACTGCACCAACCTGCTGCTGGAGATGACATCACGCAGTCCCGACTTCTCACGGGAAATCTTCCAGCATCCACTGTCCGAGTGCAGGTTTCAGGTCAGTCACGTGTAGAAAGGGATCTTTCTTGGTTTTTGTTGTCATTCAGTGCCAATGATGAAAAGTAAGTCTTAGAGATTTAAAGTGTACCTCTGGCAACAGCAGTTGTGCCAAAGTTACATCTGATTTGCCCATGTTTGTTTGTTTTGTCTGCAGGATGTTCAGATCGACCATTCCTGGAAGCAGAGGCACGTTGCCATGACGCCTATGTTTGTGGAAACCCAGTCCAGCCATCCGGCCTCGTCTCAGTCCCAGGCCCAATCTCTGTCCCAGGGTGGGCAGGACACTCTGGGGGGTCAGCTGAGGGCAACACAAGATGTCCTACAGTTCACAGCCACACAGGCATCAGGTGAAGACTATTGAATGACTTCAGTCTGAAGCAATAATCATTTATAGCCCATGCCATTTCCCTGCCTATCTGCCATATAGACCAGGAGCTGGCCAAGTGTTCACCACTTTGTCAGGTTTCTCGATATACATTGTAGCATGGTTCATGGCCATAGACTCTACAGTACTTGAGTCTATGGCCAAAGAACTTTAAAGTAAGTCCTGTGTCTGATTCTTCCTGGGGGCCTGCGTGTGTGTGTATGGGATTGGGAAACTCCCAAAGCTATGCCTTACTGGAACACGTGAAGCCGATAGACCACGTGGTGGCTCTGTGCGTGTTCAGGGGTCAGAAGGGCAAATTGGTAGACATTGAACATATAGTACAATGACAGGGAAATCTACCTTTTTTATCAGCTGCTCCAAAGAATGCGTACAACTGGCTGACCCAGTCCAGTCTAGACACGTTTGCGGACTACTCCGTCCCGCTCGGAACAGAAACCCAGTCCTCGCTCCTCTTCACTACTGATGCCAGCAAGAAGGTGGCCAAGGCACGCCGGCTGAAACCGGTTGGACCCGGTTTTGGGTCTGATCGGCTGAGTGCAGGGAGGGACCAGACTGACGGAAGAGCAGGTGAGAAAGGATGAGTCTCAACTCACCTGATATAGGTGTTTGTTGATTGTGAAATTGATTACCGGTATTGCAAAGTTGATCATAATTTACGAAAGTCTAGATTTTAGTAGTGTTCTGTTTTGAAATTGACATTTAGCAAAAATTAAAATTCAGGGACTTTTGTAAGCTAGTTCTTCACAATCATACTATTTGACTGCAAATCTACCTCTTAGATAAAGAAATGTAAAAAAATGTATAATATCTTTCAAGTTGTTTTGATCGTATGATGTTTTGTATACTGTGTTAAATGTGTACCATGATGATCTTTTTAAGAGTTTTTAAAACCCATTAATGTGTACTTCGTGGTTTCTCAGCTGAGGACTCTCAGCAGTCGGAGATCATGAGACTGAAGAGGCGTTTCCTCAAGGACCAGGACGTAACTAAGGCTTACCACGCCCGGCGACAGATCAGGATGCAGAAGATGAGAGAGGTCAGTCAGAGATGCTGACCTGACAGTCAGAGATTCTGACCAATAGCAACAAAATATTGTTGCTCACTCAACTTGCTCTCTGTTGGAAAGGGTTTCAGTCCTTCATGAAGAAAGGACTATGAAAAAGGCCATGGTCTACTCCTCATTTCTTGAACACAAGTCAAAAAGAGCTAGCCTACCAGGGAATTTCCACAACACAATGGTCCTGTGTTACAGAGTACATGTACCTACTGTTTGTCTGTCATGACCAGTGAAAGATCAGCTCTTCAATAAGATGAACTGGTTTGAAATAATTTTCGCTTTTCAACATAAATTTATTTCTAATTAATGTTCCTTTTCTCCCCCCAGGAGAGAGTGAAGGAGCAGCGAGCCAAGCGGGGGAACCTGGTGACACTGTACCGACAGTACCGAGTGGGAGACCTGCCGGATATACAGATTAAATATTCCTACATCATAGCACCTCTTCAGGCCCTCGCACAGGTGACTATTTTTATAAAATAGTAATTAGATATATTACCTAACATTACAGAATGATTCGAAAAAGATTTGAACATTCCAACTCAAAAAGAGTACATTCACCAAAATTCTCCTCTGCTCTTCTTGTTGGATGATGATGTGGCCACTATCTAAAATTTGTCTTCACCTGATTTACATTTATCATCAATTCATAGTTTTTTTATAGACACCTGTTCAACTGCAAATTTTCTTAATCACTGACAAAAATTATTGGATACAATAAACATCTGACAGTTTTCAAAATCTAGCCCTGCAATTGCTTGAGTACTGTTAAACTGTTTCCTTGGGATGTAGCTACTGGCTCATGGAAATCACAAGTTTTTGTTCCATTCTTTTCTGAATCACTACTTCAGAGAGACAGCATGCTGGCCAGGCTCCTCTTCAGTTCCTTGTTCCGCGGCATCTTTGAGGAGATTGAGAATGTGAAGACGGAGCGCGAGGCAGAGGATCTGACAGAACAGATCAGCCGTTTCTTAAACACGGCGCTTAGCAACAGCGAGAAGTACTTTCCGCCCTTCATTTCCTCCCTACAGGTGAGTCCTTGTTCACTTTCGCATTGCTCTGTTTCTTCTTCTTCCTCTTCTTCCTCTCCTTCTTCTCCAAACAAATAACAAAGGTCAATGACCAGGACCAGATGTCTGTCACCATGGTAACTGGTGTTGGGTTACATAATGTTGCTAGTGCCATGCAGAACTTAGTACAAGAGGGGCTGCATGACGCCATAGTATACCCTCCTCCCTGGTATGAGTGTGTTTGTGTAAGAATAAACAAAGCAGTAGTTTATTAAGCTGGTCCATGTGAAGGTAAACATGCTTTTTAGAAATTTGTTGACTGGAATTCATTCCCTGGAAAGGTGACCTCACCCTCCAGTGTATTAAGGGCAGCTAGTGCCCACCAGTCCACACCAGATGGACATTGTATTGTTTCATGGAATTAATTTCCTGGATCTTGAGTCCAAATTTTGGGGATCGACACATAAACCTGCAATTTGCAAAAAAGACTTGATTGCAAGGATGAAAAAAAAATGAAAGGGAACTCTAAAGTGTGTCCACGTTACTGTATGTCCAGGTTTGAATGTAATTCTTCAGAACTTTTTCATCCATTGTACATTTCTTTAGGAGATTTGTTACCGCGAGCCTCGGAAGCTGAGCCCAGATGCGAGTGTGATCCAGCAGACTGGGGTGATCAGCCTGCAGCAGCCCATAGGTGAGAGATCTAAGATGATACAAGCAAAGCCTTACAGCACAGATGTTTCCATTAAGTGCCTTGGGGGACAAAGAGGTGCGGATGAGGGGTTTAAGACTAAGTAGACATCATTGCATCTTACTGTTCTCCTTATTTAGTAACACCTGTACTGCAAATATCATCCCTTCCTGAAAAATAAATAAATAATTTTACCTTTGGATAAATGCATATTTTAAGCCAGTCCGTTGTCCACCTGTCCTGCAGGTATTGTCCTCCTTGAGGAGCAGCTGGTCCAGAAGGCAGGTGTGGAGGAGCCGAGGTCCAAGCGAGCAAGAACATCCAGCTCACCTGTGTCAGCTGAGACTGCCACCTGGATAGAACTGGCCAGGTCAGCGATCAGGATGGATGGATGGATGGATGGATGGATGGATGGATGGATGGATGGATGGATGGATGGATGGATGGATGGATGGATGGATGGATGGATGGATGGATGGATGGATGGATGGATGGATGGATGGATGGATGGATGGATGGATGGATGGATGAAACTGCTTTCATTTGGTATGACCCATTGTACCATATTATAACCACTGTTGTTTGTATGGACAGGCTATACAAGTCCTTGGGAGACTTCGATGTCTTGCAAGGAATCTTCAGCAGGAAGGTGGGCACTCAGACGGTCACGTATGAGGCCCTCGAGGCAGAGGCAAGAGGAGACTTCAAGAAAGCTGTGGAGCTCTACAATCAGGTTGGGACACTTCGTATGGGGAACATGATTTTCTGAGCCTTAGGGTTTCTTGAGATAACAGAAAAGAGCTCCCTATAGATCTTTACGTAGTCAGTTCCATGGTTTGAAATGGTTCAGCAAATAATGATTAACAGCTATAAGAATTAATGTTGTTTCACTCACCTTGTTCAGGCCATGCAGGAGACAGAGTGGCCGGACCCTCAGCCCCTGGCGGTGGAGGAGGATCTCTGGGACGACTCCAGACTGCAGGTGAACTGATTTACACTCAGTGTTTATTTACCTTCGCCAAGAGGTTTTCTGTGCAATGCCATGTGCTTGTTTGTGTGAGAACAACATAGCATAACTCTAGAAGCTGTGATGGATCTTCATAAGCCTTCAAGTTGGTGTTCTTACATCCTATAGCAAAATTTATGTGGATTGGATGAAAACACACCTTCCTCAAAAGTTCTGCTTTACAAAAGAAGTGAGTGAAAATGCTTGATCTCTCCGCCTGTGCCCCTCCTCCCACAGTGTTACGACCACTTGACCCAGTGGAAGAACTTGTATGAAGTCTCGACTGTCAACATTGATGAGGATTCACCACCAAACCTGGACAAGATGTGGGATGACACCTACTTCCAGGTAGAAACTCCTGAAGACTTATCTTTGTTCCTTGCAACACCCAGGTGAAGTGAGAAAAGTTGTCTTAAGTTTTACAATTCGGACCACAGTGTCTAGCCAAGGAATGGATCCCATGACCTATCAAAACAAGAAATCAAAGATTTCACAACTTTTTAAAGTATTTAGAGTTGTTGTCACTTTCTATGGGAAAAGCCTGATAATTAGGTGTTTTTATGGGGACAGTCAGCTCAACAGTTACATTTTTGCCCCATCTCTATAGGAACACTACCTGCCCTTCACCATCAGGTCAAAGTTGAAGCTGCTGCTGGAGGGAGAAATGGACCAATCACTGCTCAACTTTGTGGACAGTGCCATGCAAAAACCTGACAGGAAGGCTTTACTAGAGGTAAACTAGCAGCTATGTACTACTTAAGTGTTTGGTTTCATTAGCTAGTTAGCAGAAAGAAAGAAAATTTTCAAGCCAAAGTCCAACTTCCCTGGAGCTCTTAAAAAGCTAAAGAACACACTGATCTTCTTTTTTCTGAATTGATAGTTTGACAGGTTGATAGGATGATACTGTTGATAGGATGATAGCTTGATAGGTTGATAGCTTGATAGGTCATCATGGCTATCATCCTATCAATCTATCATCCTATCATCTTGGCTGTCAACCTATCATCTATCATTACAAGTAACCATGAGTTGTAACACTACCATGTCTTGCAGTCCCGTTACTGTGAGGAGCTGGCCATGTTGTACTTGTACCAGGATGATTACGGCAGGGCCAAGTACTATGTGGGGAACTGCACAGATGCCTTCCTACAGGTCAGCTGCTAGTGGTCAAGTTGGGACAAATGAGTTTTGAGTGTGACCTGTATCTTGCTCTATTTTGACTGACCCTTTCCTCTTCCCTCATGACCTCAATGAAAAGTGGCTCGCATGCCAATTTGAGTATTTCATGAGGCTTAAACAACAAAAACATACCAAGTGCAATGATGTTGTGTGTTTTTCAGGAATGGTCTGGGATGGACCGTCTCATGACAAGCAGCCGAGCGGCAAAGCTGCAGTCTCTGCAGAAACTCACAGAGATGCAGGAGTTCCTGGAACTCATCTCTAATGACCGTACGTCATAATTGTTAAACATCTCTTGTCCATGCAATTTGCGCACAGAGGAATTATGAAGGACTTTCTCAAGAGAAATGTTGACATTGTGATTAAAATAAAATCTTGATGTTCTTTTTTTTCTGATTAGAATTTGTACAATTTTGTTATAAATTTTGAATTTGTGTATGATTTTGCTTTAGCCATAAACAGGTTAAGTGTTGTCATCTATAAGAGCCTAATGAAAATGGCCACTCAAACAAAATGGTAACAGCAGACAGGTTGCTGATGACAGAATAGACAGGATTTGTTTATTTCTCGCAGGAAACTTTGAGACACCGTGGCCGGTGACCCGGCTGCTGGAGAAGTGGTCCAGCCGTTACCCTGACAACAGGATGGACCCCATCTCTGTATGGGACGACATCATCGCCAACAGGTGGGATTTCAACCAATGACGTGGCTTGTGTGAAAAAGGAGATGACAGCACTACACTTCTGAGCACTACAATTCAGTGTCAATGTTTAATTTGGAAAAATTGACTAATTTGTAATATTTGTGACCTGTGGGAAGTTGTATTTTTTCATAACTGTTCCAAATCCATTCAGGACCTGGTCATATTTAATGAGTAATTTGACCGTTATTTTCCAGATGTCTGTATTTGGACAAATTGAATGACAAGTTTGAGCAGATGGCAGCCCGAGGAGTTTTGGACACAGAGGTGGGAGGGGAACCCTTCAGCCACAGGGCTCAGAGGGAGCAGTTCTTACTGAGACTGGTGCTGGCAGACAGCGCACGGGAACAGGTAACACTGAACATTTGAACTGGTCCCTTTTGAAACTGATTGTTGCAGAAGAAATTTTTAAGCTAAAGGTAGATGATTTTGACAGCTCTTGTACAGTGACTGATTTAACTTTTTTTCTCTTCAGGCTAACTTCCCTGTGGCTCTTAAACACCTGAAAAACACACTGAAGGTAAGTTCCTTAATTCCCAACACCTGTATGTAGACATACATGACACACACTTGGTTGACTGTATAATGTATAGAATGCCTTTTAGTTCTTGTATATAAGAGTGCTTGAAGTTATGTGTTACTGGCTGTAGATTTTAATTTGGACAATCTTACATGTAGGCATTGCCAAGAATTTTTGAAGCCTAAGTTGACCTGTGTTGGTAGAAAGCATTGTTGATGATAGTTCAACCAGAGAAACCTACAAAACTCTTCTTCATCTTGTTGTTGACCATATTGTTGTCTCGTTGTTCAGGATTTTACAGAAGATGACCCCCTGCGACTGAGGTGGACCCACTGCTATGCTCGGCTGCACCAGAAGAAAGCTTCCCTCCTGACTGGTGCTGACAAACTCAACAATGTCCTCACAACATTCGAGCAACTGGGTATGGAACTATTACAATCAACACATGGGAGATACTATCATCACAAATCAGGGCAATCAGAGATGGCAGACTTTACTCTCTTTCCTAAACTGCTTTGCAACCTTAATCCTAAATATTGCAGCAGTAGTATGGGTATGGCAATGCTGCCTTGTGTATTGAGAATCACTCAGACACACACTGAGACATACACACACAGACATATTCAAACAAATACACAAAACAGACGAGTCCAAAAATTTACTCAGAAGTAAAATAGCCAGTACCCTGTAATTGAATAAAAAATCTTTGACACATAAGCATCGGAATCAGTAGTCTTATAGAATAATCTTTAAGATAGAATATTCTTTGTTGCTTACAATTTTCCAAGTCCCTCTGATGTTTCACTGATCACCTGTTGCACACAGATAAGTTCAGCAGCTGCCGAGTGTTTGAGGAGGACCTGGCCGTTGCTAAGCAACACCACACCCTTACCAGCCTGTCCTATGAGATTGTGGCCCATGCACTTATTCAGGAAGGTGATACATTTAATAAGTCTTACATGAATTTATACATTTTGTATTCTTAGGGTTAAAAAAGTGAAATCTCTTCAGAATCAACCTTACTAAAGAAGTAAAATCAATGTGAAAATTTCAGAGATATTCATTGTCTTAAAAACTCACACCGAACCAAAATTTAATGATTTTACTCCAGGTGGAGCCATTTTGACCGGCCTGAAAGACACAAGGCATGCGCAGCTGCTGACAGCTGCAGGTGTGTCACCTGACACATCGGTGGATCAGGTGAGACCCAAGTCTTGTAGAAAGTTTGATATGTACTAGTCATTTTAAGTTATCCTAAAAGATAGTAAGACTTGGCGTAGTTGCTGAACTAACTAGTTTTGTGTACTAGTATGCTAGATTCATACATGTATATCACCTGAAACTGGCAACTTCAGAAAAGTAGATTCATAATAGGTCAGCTTCAGCACTCTAATATGTCAGTAAAGCTCTGATGACTATTTATATTTCTGTAGACGATCTCCAGCCTGCTGCAGAAAGGCCATGCATGTCTGCAGAAGGCTGTGAAGCTGGCCAGTGATGAGGAGAAGGCACGCCAGGACACCAGTCTGGACAAGTCAGGCATCGTGGACGCCTTCATGGCTATGGTCGGATTCTGTGACAAGATCTTAAGACACCAAGAAGATGGTAAAATCTTTTAATTTCCTCAATGTGAATAATATCAGAAATAGTCATTTTTCCCTACCAAAACAGATATAGGTGAACCTGGTGCAAAATTCTGAAAACATTATTCTCAAGAATTCTGCAGCTAACTGTGCACTGTCTTCTGTTTTACAGATGAGGAGGGTACAGAACTCAGCTCTATCCCAGGCCTGGCTGCTGCGGTGGTTTCTAACCTGCTGCAGGCCCTGCGCCATGACTCCCCCGAGGCCAGACAACGCTTCCCCAGGCTGCTGCAGCTGGTGGAGATCTACCCTGACACCATGGACCTCTTCATAGAGAAGGTCAGGAACTGATCTTGTTTCAACCGTTGAATCAGTCTTCACATTGTCTACATCATCCTGTAGGCCACTATCCATTGATGTCATGAGAGAGATAAAAGATACTAAGTAAAATGATTGTTAAGGGGAATATATATGTCTTCACAGCATGTGTTCAGTGCAGGATTACTCAAGAGAGAGAAATATGGGTTACTGTCTTGTTTTGGGGTGGATGTATCATTCCCAGGTATCCCATGTGCCCAGCTGGCTCTGCATTTCCTGGCTGGGTCAGATGGTGGCGCTGCTAGACAAGCCTGAGGCTGTGGCTGTTCACGGCATCCTGACCAGGATAGCACAGGAATACCCACAGGTCAGAAAGTTTAAAAAACAAACAAACAAACAAACAGAGAGAAAATAAAGAAAAAACTGAAAAAGGAAAATTTTCAGTATAGTACTACTAGTATTAATATTCAATTTATAAACTATACTCCTCATATTTATATTGTAAGTTCTCCTTTTGACAAGTACCATATGGGTGTGCTGTTCTGTCACCTTTTTCAGATTTGATGGGTTACAAATGTGCAGAATTAATACTGATACTACACAATGTAATTGATTGTTTTCATCATGAAGGAAGCTTATTACAGCTCATCATGTTTCCTCAATCATTTTCCTCATGATTGTGTATATTTGCTTGAAGGAACAAAATATTTGTTGTTGTGCATTTTTTCTAAGTAAATCAGACTATGGAAGTTGTTTTGTTTGCCCCCCTGCAGGCCCTGGTGTACCCACTGAAGATCAGTAGTGAGAATTTTGAGTTTGAGGATTCGGTGACCGGCAGGAGGAACCAGGAGGCTGTTACCAGGTGAGACAGCATCTCTTTTCAACTTGTCAGGAAAGTAGAAATAGAACCTTATTCATTCAAGTTCTACTTGATTCTTACATTATAGCTGCATTTAATTTTATAATATATACACAACCCTGAAGTAAGGTGGAAACCTTTTACTTACCTCGGCTATCTTTTTGATGCAGCTTGAAGAAAACTTTGTCAGTGATCTACTCCCTGGTGGACAAACTAATTGGAGGTCTGGAACAACTCAGCCACCCTGACCAGCTCTTTAAGGTACTCAAACTGGTGTTGTTTTTTCTTTAAAGTACTTAAAGTCTATGATCTATAATATTATAGTGCTCATAGCTCACAGGATTAGAATGCTAATAGTAAATGATTTTTGTTTTCTGTGTGACTGTGTTTAGATTCTTACAACAATGCATGAGGAGTTTTCATTGCTGACCTGTGATTGTGTGTTTTCCAGGACTGGGGTGACGATGCCGACCTGAAGCGACTGCTGAAGGTCGACCCAAAGAAGAGAACTAAGGAGGACAAGGTCACCATCAAGAGGCTGTATGATGAGATGTGAGTGATCCTTAAGAAAAACTTACAGTCTGTCTGTCAAACTACACCTTGAGGAAGTTCAACACTTCTAAACAATGATTTACAAACTCAGTCTGAAGAAATGGTTTACAACTCAATGATAGATAACCTGAATAACAAAATTGTGTGTCATCTTTTAATATAATGACAATCTAAATTCATTTGCTTGATTACACATTATTTATTTTATTAATAAAGAGAACCAAAATTTTAATTGATGTGGCCCTGATTTTTTTAACCTTTATCAGACTGAAATAGCCATTATTGGCTACAACTTCTCTATTGACCACCGGGTTAGTCAGCAGGGATATGGTTCAAATTCTCAGTTGTCTCTCTCCAGGTATGACAGCCTGCTAGACTTCAGGTCAGCCAGTCAGGATTCGTCCATGTCATCCCTGTTTGGTTCCCAGTCCTCCGACCTGGAGTCTCAGTCTGTCGGATTCGGGCCCTTCCGGCGACGGTTCGCCCAGCAGTTCGCCAAGGAGTGTGAGAAGATGTTCGGCAAGGATGGAAGTCGGATTTTAGATATGAAGGAAAAGGTGGAGGATTTAATATTTACATAAACACTAAGTAAAATATTGCAACTGGATGATTCTTTGAAGGGAGGCAAAATTTGGATCCAAATTATGCCTCTTATTACAATTTGTCTTCTCATATAATCACAGTCACTGGCGCATGGTAGTAGATGCTATGATATGATAGTATCTGAAAATGAAATGTCTGACTCAGACTTTAGAAAATTTTATTGAACCTCTCAAATTTCATAAACTTGAAGGATAATGCAAGTATCTTGTTACAATCAGGTAGAGCTAATAATGGATTTCAGTATTCTGGTCTAATAACAAAGCAATATTTTTTTGCATGTACCTACATGTAGTACCTATTTGGTAAAACATGTTTTTAAAATTTGTGAACATGTACTAGGATAATCCTGCTGACTAGCTTGAAGATGTTACTGTCAATTTTGCTACACAGATATTTGGAAGTGTAACATTATTTGTTTTGAACATTAACCCACTCAGGAATTCATGAAGCTGAAGAGTGGCCTGCAGAACATGATGGGGGATTTTTACCGGAAAGCGTTCCCTCGAGAGAAGGCCAACTGTTACGCGCCCGGCCTGCTGAAGGACTACTGTCCCTGGCTCAGTGACTTCAACCCTCTGGACTATGACAGGGAACTGGAGATCCCAGGTGTGATTGTCGACTGAACATTACTGCAAGCCTTGTTTGAACCCCCAAATACTACATGACACCCAAGATATTTTGAGGAAAGTATTAAGAAACAGTGACAACTACATCTTTCATTAGTGACTTACATGACTGTACAATGTACAGTGGATGCTACTGTATTTGAGATGTCTAACTCTTCATGTATCCAGCTGCTTGATTGTATTACTAAATAGGGCTTATTATTGCCTAAGTTTATGGCATTCAGTATAATTGTCTTCTTGACAATTCCTTTTTTTTCCTTCAGGCCAGTACACTGGGAAGGTGAAGCCCCTAATGCAGTATCATGCTAAGATAGCAGGCTTTGACCAAAGGGTAAGAGGTTTTTCTGATTGTTGTCAGACATTCTTTCCTTTTTTTTCATTTTTAATAGTAGGTCCTGTATTTATGAGAAATGAACTTTTCTCACTGGTTGCTTACTAGGCGTTATTTATAAGCCTTCTTCTAGGAAACATTGAATAAATGCACTTAAAGTTTGTGCATCAAATAAAACTGAACACAGTGTTTTAATGAAGTTTCTACTGTTTTTCCCCTTTCCCTGCAGGTGAAAGTCATGAGCTCCTTAAGGAAGCCAAAGAGAGTCACCATCCGTGGGGACGACGAGAGGGACCATCCATTTCTGGTGAAGGGAGGGGAGGACCTGCGGCAGGACCAGCGCATCCAGCAGCTCTTCGACATCATGAACGACATCCTGACCCTTGACCCCGCCTGCAGTCAGCGCCAGCTGCGAATCAGGACCTACGGGGTCATCCCCATGACCTCAAGGTAAGGTCATCCAATGACCTCCATGCAATGTCATTCCATGACCTTCATGTAAGGTCATCTGCATGAACTCCAGGTAAGGTCATTCCATGTCTATTGACCCACAGGTAAAGTCATCCACATGACCTGCAGGTAAGGTCATTCCATGAACTCGAGGTAAGGTCATCTCATGGTCTTTAGATAGGGTCATCTCACGACCTCCAGGTAAGGTTATCCACATGACCTGCAGGTAAGGTCATCCACATGACCTCCAGGTTAGGTCATCATTTTTAATGTTTGACAAATGAATGTGATGTGTACTGACTCTTAACTCAGAGTCTTGACAAAAACTTGTAACTAATTAACACAGACTTACATGTAATGTATCTCTTAATGTCCCCCTGTAGGGTGGGGCTGATAGAGTGGATGCAGAACACCACCCCCCTGGCTGGTTTCCTGGAGAACGCCATGACAACCAGGGAACAGGAGGCCTTCCTGCACCAGAGGCTGTAAGTTGTAACAGTATTTTAGTCTGTAATCTCAGTTTATGGTCATTGGCTTAGCCTGTGGACGATTGATTGATTGCTTAGCAACAATTCTGAATCAGTTAACCAGTCTTGAATCTGTTGTTATCTTTTTTAGGCCTCTAATTGACTTTGATGCCTACGTCCATCGGCTCGGTGGAACAGTAAAGAACGACCCATGGGGCAAGGTTTATGGATCTCTGTACCAGTAAGGGACATTTCTTTAGTTAGTAATTTTGATACACAGATTCCTTATTCTTCTGTCTGACCTTTTATAATAAAAGCTAGCTTTTGGATTGTAACAAAAATTTAAATAGTATATTTCCCCATTCATAAAACAAGGAAGCAGTACTGCAAACTCCCTTGCACATTCCACCTCTAGAGTCACATGTCTGTGTGGTCAAGTTTTAAAGCAGTTGTTGAAGATCCGCTCAAAAAGTGTTTTTGAGGATAACTCATTTGTTCCATAACATATTTGGAACAAATAACAAATACAAAAATCATGTTATCAAGTTTATATGAAAAGATCCAGGAAGTATTGAAAGTTTGAAACAACAATTTTAAAAAACAGTCAATGAAATTTTTTTGCCATGACTGTGTTCTGATGACCTTTTAATTGCCTTTTCCAGGAAAGCAAGCAGAACAGATGTGACCTTGGCCTTCCGTCAGGTGCAGAGCAAGGTCACCTGGGACATTATGAGGTGGGTGGAAAATGTTCAATGTTATTAACAAACTGCTGGATTTTTATTCAATTTTTTGCTTCATTTTAACCTTGGAATATCCTAAAGCAAACAAAATGAATTCTTGGGTTACTGTAACAGACTATTGCTTTTTCCCTCAACAGGCGAGGTTATCTGCAGATGAGTTCATGTCCTGAGGCGTTCCTAACTCTCCGCTCTCACTTCACCACGACTCACGCCACCCTCTGCATCGCACAATATGTCCTTGGCATCGGAGACCGCCATCTTGGAAACTTCATGATTGACCTTGAGAGTGGAGGCATGGTGGGGATTGATTTTGGACATGCCTTTGGCTCAGCCACACAGGTGAGGTCTCTGCCAATCCGCAGCTGTTATTGTTAATGTTCTCAAAGCTGATAAAATGTTTGTTGTTGTTAACTTGTTGTTCCCAGCACCTCTCAGTCCCCCATGCCAACTGACGCCCTTCCACCTGACCCACAGTTGTTATATATAATAATTGTTTACAGCACCTGCCAGTCCCAGAGCTGAGGCCCTTCCACCTGACACATAGTTGTTGTTTACTTGTTTACAGCACCTGCCAGTCCCTGAGCTGATGCCGTTCCGCCTGACCAGACAGATGCTGAACCTCCTGCTGCCCCTGAAGGAGAGCGGCCTGCTGCAAAGCACCATGGTCCACGTGCTGCGGGCTCTGCGCTCCAGCCCCAACGTCCTTATCAACACCATGGACGTCTTCATCAAGGAGCCACATCTGGACTGGAAGGTAACCTGTTTACTTTGCGCTTATCCATGGAATAAGATTAATTAAAAGGTACCAGACATTTTAACTTTTTCTTATATTCACAGCGTAACCTCTCCCCTTTACCTCCATAGATTTGTCCACGAGATGCTCTTTTTCCTTAACTCTGGCTTGGAATTCTTCACTGAAAAGTTGCCTGAATTCAATATTAGTAAAATGCATTCTCTGATGGCAAGACCTGCAACTGATGGGTAAGTAGTACATGGTTTTTCCTCTCATTTAATCATGTTCTATTTTTATCTTTCAGAACTTTGCAGCAAAGCAGATGGACAAGGGGATGGTAGGGGAAGGTGGGTAAAGTTCTCTTTAGCTCAAATTTAACAACAAAATTTTGCTGAGCATGCAGATACTAAAGTTTGTGACAAAATGCAAATCAGTTTTCAGTAAACTCATTCAAATATATGACCTTCAGATGATGACCTTGATGACATCAGCTGGTACCCGAGGGAGAAGATCAAGTTCGCAGCGAAGAAGCTGCAGGGGGTCAACCCAACACACATCACCAAGTGAGTGGATAGAATCAAATAACAAGAGTCCAAAACAACAACAAAACACTTCTAGATTGGAGTTTTCTTTACAGTAACCACTGTAACGGTAATGAATCCAACTTTCTTCACAAATTTCTGCATTTTAGATGTTGCATGCACTTTTCGCACAATAGTGAACACACAGCAATTAATCAAACTTGTATCTAGGCAGGAAGAATTCAGATATTATGACACATATTTGCCTCCTACTCCCACAGGGCAGAACTCCAGCTCGGCCACAAGAATCTTCCCTGGTTCAAGTCCTTCTGCCTGGTTGCCATGGGTGACGGAGGGAAGGATGTGCGCGCCCAGAAGCCTGCGGAGGGGCTAAGCGTGGAGGACCAGGTGGCCTGCCTGATCGACCAGGCTACAGACCCCAACATCCTGGGCCGCACCTGGCAAGGCTGGCAGTCCTTCATGTGAAACGAACGTTTTAGGCTGGCCTTAACAAATTGATGAACAGCTTTATGCATGTTAAGCTATGCATTAGGATTGTTTCAGTAGAGCTGGGTAGGCATGTAATGTTATACAACATATTTCAAATTGCACCATCACTACAGACAGATACTTCAAGGTGCAAATTGGTCTTTTAGGTGTGGCTTCAATCCATGTTCTGAGCTTGTGAAGACTTTGAACAGGTTAAGGTAAGATCATAGCAAATGTATGAAAATGGTGTAAACATTCTGTCTCATTAAGAAATATCATTCCAACCTTTAGATGTTGGCAGTTAGTGAACTCTGCAGCTTGTAAGATAGTTCCAAGTACAAGATAAAGCAGTGACACTTTGATATGAGGAAAAGAAAAAAAGATGGGAAAGCATCTCATATGTTTAATACTACTAGTAGTGGCAGATTTTACAGTATAATGCATAAAATTTGTATTCATCTCAGAAAAAAGTAGTACTACGTACTTTAGAATCTATACTGCAGCATATTTCTTACATAAAGTTTGTAATACAACTTACCGATACACTTGTTTTCATTTTGATACAAATCAATTGGTAAAGCATGCCCAGGGTGACACTCACAAGACACGGTATACATTGTAACAAGTTGAACTTGCTCAAAGATAAATGTAATTTCACAATACATGGTTTTGAGTTCCTTTAAAAGGAACACATGCAACAATAACTTGACATACTATGGTTGAAATCATTGATGGTTCAACAGCTCTTCTCATTCACAGTTCCCACTCTATATCCATCTATTAGGCCACACCAATTTAATTTGTTGGTTCTCGGATTTTTTCAGAAAAAATATGAAGTGACAGGGCGAAAAAAAATAAAAATAAAAACAGGTCTAGGCATCCTATTATAGGCTTAAATGCTACAAAATGAGCCATGAAGTCAACACAAAAAGGCTGGGTTAAAATTTAAACATTAAATTTTGAACTTTTAATCAAACCACTGCAATGATAGATGGGAAAACTGTAACAAC